TGACCAAGGCAAACTACTTCACCAAGGTCCATCTATCATTGGCGTTCTGACAAGTGGTCCCAGATGAAGAATCCAGTTTCTTAACGACGTTTGCCACACTCTTCGGACGTTCTTGATGGCTACGTTTACTGCTTGTTTTAAAGGTTCTTAGTCCAAATTTCCAGAATCGGTTTTGCAATCAGTTGACGACCAAGACTGTGTAACGTGTGTGGCAAACGATGTGCTAATTTACTGCTCAACTGGACAGGAACATGATGCCAATCTACACCACTTTTTAAAGCGTTGCGTGCAAAAGAACATAAGGCTCAAACGCGAGGAGTTTGAGCTCCAAAATCCGAAGGAATTTTTCACGAGCATGTTCTGACATCCAAAGGAATAAAGATCGATCCCGGGAAAGTCAAGACAGTGCAGTAGATGCCACAACCTAAGGACGTCAAGGCCGTTAATCGTTTAAATGGCATGTGACTTATTTAGGCCGGCTTTTGTCAAGACTTGCTGAAATCATGACACTCATCCGGGACTGACTCATAAAGGTGTAAAGTGGAGTTGGGGGGAAGAGCAGGAGGCCTCTTTTAAAATTGTCAAGCATCTCATCAGCTGTGTACTAGTACTCGGATACTATGATCCATCTCTGAACTTGAAAGTGCAGTGATCACAGCCAGAGTAAATAGGCGCTGTTCTCATTAGCCTTAACTTTGCTGCCTTCAAATTTCCCACGGGTATCATTCTGCTAAGACTCCCTGATCCTCCTAAGATCCGAATCATTGAGAATCAGGTTGGTTCCTTTCTTGTTCGAGGTTGCATTAATCACATATTTGCCATCCGTCAAATGTTGGGGCAAAGCGACCACAGGCGTTTGACTACGTTGCTTTGAACTGAAAGCCACACTCTCTATTCCTAAAGGGCGTGCAAAGGAGACTCTATGCTGTTCTCTCTGCCGCGGCTCCTGAGATCAGGTAAAAGTCTATGCGAGACCGTCTCCTGAGTTCCCCTCTACAAAAGGAGTAGGTAAATTTGTCCTCTCTCCTAATTTTTCTTTCACTTTGTAATCAACATGATCATGCATGCTTTGCCCGACTTCTTCCACTTCTGTGGTAAATACCAAACTGAGTAATCGATCGACGAACTTACAGAACGCGGATGACAGCTGTTTGTAGACCGGGCACCACTGCCACTCAGAGCAATTTCACTCTGAATCCAATTGGCCTCTTTCATTGTCTTGTTTACTCAGTACGCCGGCCGGTGGCTGAAATGATAATACGTCTGCTTTGTAACCAGCGGTCGCCGGTTCGAATCCGTGAAGGCGCGAGCGGCCTCGCGGTGTCCCCAACCCACGCGCGACTGGTAGTGGTTACTCGGCAGCGAAGCATCGGTTAGAGGTACCGGCGTGCTGCTGATCTCCTTGCATGCCCGGTTGACTGATTACATGCCCGGAACGTTTCACTAAAACCACACGCTTAGGCAGAACTATCTATACCTTGAGCTTGGATACTTGAAGAAATTCTGGATTACCAGTCCAGACAGACTTACTTTGCAGTTGTTCTGATTCAGTCACGAGATAATTGTCAATCAGGTAACAGCTCTTTTCTCCATGACTTTGGCGTAAACAATGAGTTCCATCCTCTTATGGTGAACCAGTTATCAACCTGACTTTCGAGAAAAGTATTAGCACTCTCTACGCCATTCACAAAGGAACCGGTTGTCTCAAACAATTGACATACATTTTACTCCACAGGGTACACCTCCATGAAGAACAACATAGTCTTCCTTCCGGTCTTGAGTGTGCAGATCACATGTTCTCACCTCAACAACTCCTTGAACATTGTCACATTTACCTGCGGCCTACCACTATCGCTTAGAAATCCGGGATGCATTTGGTTCATTCGATCGACTTGTTTTATAAAGTTACTTGCACAAGCACATGGTTTCCGAAAAGTGTAGCACCATCCTTTGGGCATTACGCTAATGTTTTGGACAGTTGGAGTTTACGATAAGCTCTCTACCTTTCGTTATCAATAGCGGTGCATGCCCAGGTGCCATATGTCCTCATTTCCGTCAAATTGTACAGTTAAGGATGGGTGTATAGCTTGTACATAGCTTCCCTTAGATAATCGTGCAACTAACAGACTCTGCTAATGACATTGCCTTGGTTGATGACGGCCTTCAGGATATACAGCTCCTTCTAAACCGCTTGCTTGTTGAACCTACTTAGTCAGGCATGACATTTCCGCCTTCGAAATGTGAAATCTTGCTCCAGCGTTGATCTCTACTCATTATTGCTCATCATTGATGATACAGAGCCTGAATAAGTGGACAACTTTTTGTGCCTGGCAAAGTTCGTTTCTGCGATAATGCCATTAGAAGAGAGACCTCCATTCGCAGTAGCATTCGTCATTCGGAGGCATCCTTGACTTCTGGACTTCTCACTCTGGTAATTGGACAGAGTCTACAATGCCTGTGTTCACACGTTGCTGTTTTACGGGAACGAGCTCTGGCCGATTCGTGTGAATGCTGTACATCGGTCTTCGGCTTTTGCTGATAGATGCTCGTGTGGTGTGAACACCATGATTACAATGACGTTGTTTGAAGTCCTATCTTAAATGTTACGAGCCTTCTTCTCAACAGGCTGGTACGGCTGCGTCAGGCGAAATGGATTAGTCACATTCTACGCGTGTCATGCGAGCGTCCACTACTACTATGCACTCGCATAATGCCACCTTGGGTGAATCACGCGGTTGCCAGCCTGTCACACGGTAACAAAAAAGCACTGACTTTTCTTTTACCGGTCATTGGTCCCATGTGTCCTCCTGGCTTTTGCTAACCTTCGCCACCTATGGCGGCGGCGCGACATCACTCTCGCCCTGAAGGGTAGAGCGTACAATGCAGCGGTACATTCGACCTGACCGTACGGTTGCGAAAGCTGGCCCCTAAGATCGGCGGACATAAAGAGGCTAGTTACCTTCGAATATCGGTGCCTTCGCAGCTTAGCTCATGTCTGGTGGGAACACCGCGTGAGCAATGAGCGTGTTCGGCGTCGCGTGTTTGGTGCAGGAAGAGCGAGTGAACCGCTCAGCACCATTATATCACGCACCAGGCTCCGATGGCTGGGTTACGTGTTGCGCATGCCAGCACACCGACTCCCACGGCGTGCATTGTTTGCGCGTTGTGGGTGCGGTTGGAAGAGGAGGAGGGGAGGCCAAGTGATGACTTGGTCGAGAGAAATGAAAGCCCTCACTTCGAAGTTGGCGTCGGTTGGTGCATCCCGACTGCCTGGCTGGGGTCCTAAGGACGGTGAACACGTTCGGTTAGACACACTTGCTGATATGGCTAGGAGCCGGCCCCAATGGCGTTTGTGTTGTGAGTTCCTTTGTCCATCCCCCTCCTGTTTAGTATCCCCCTCCAATCACGATCTCAATCGTTAGGCATAATATGACTTTCTTTTACGACAGCCAGCTGTTAGCTCTCCGGAACGATGTCAATCCGTTACTGGGGCCTCAGCCGGCGTGCCACTGTTTGTCACTGTTTTCCTTTCCTTTTATTTTGTATTGCGGCACAATAGCTGAGGTGTTTTCCACCTCCAGCTAACGTGTAATGATGATGATGATGCTGATGATGATGATGACGATGATGATGATGATGATGAAATTCAGCGGATGACAGGTGGAGTCACCGCAGCGTCATTGTTATAGCACATTAGTTGAAGGTGAGCAACATAACTCAGCTATTGTGTCGTAATAAAGAAAAATGAAACTTTTTGTTATTTTTTCATTTTCTTAATCGTTAGGCCTTAAGTATCTGTATCTAAAGAAGTATGTACACAGATCTTCCACTGGTTTCTCTTGGGAGCCATCTCCTGCATTGTTTCGAGCTATCGGCACTCTTCGTCCTTAGATCCCCAACCAGGCAGGCTTGTTGGTCCAATGGGTCAATGATTCCATCTGCTGTCGCCAGGTGGATGATTGACCGCCATCTGATCTCTACTAGTCGTGTCCTGCACGAGCAAACAGCGCAGCAAGGCAAAGGCTCAGCTGACATATGTAGCACGTGGCCGAGCCTTCTTGCCGCATGAACTTACATCTTAATATAACTATTTTGCCTCAACCATTGAGCTGTCAAAATGACTGGCAACGTTTGAATAACACGGAAATTATCCCAATGGAAATGCAAAAACACAATTTTGCGAAGACAGTCCTCCGGTTCAATCCCAATTATACATCTTATATCAATTTACCTGCGTCTGTGATGCGAGCTACGTGGGACACACAACCAGGCGTCTGTCTAAACGCATTGCAGAGCACTGCCCATCGGCTTTGTGGAAAGGCATCGTCAGTCGCCACAATAGTTCCATCCTGGACCATCTGCTGGAAAGCAGACACCGAATTAGGATCGCTGATGCCTTCCAAGTACTTTATTTAGTACAGCCATAGTACACTAAATGTCTTAGGAAGAAAATCTTACGGACGGCCGAAACGCTCGCGATTAGAATAATTCAACCAGAATTCTGCAAAGTGAAGGCTTTGCTGCAAGGGCTTCTACCTTGGCCCTAGTTAACTTACCAACTTTTATCACTTCGCGCGCCTACAGTAGTCGGATGATGCGCTTTACATTCCACCGATCAACCAACACGTGCTCTGTCACGTGCGTTGTTAGTGGAGTTTATTGATCGACTTCTGCGTTTCTGTTTGTCGTGGTTCCACTATTCCTACCTCGTTGACTTCATCAGCAATTTGTGTTCTGCCTTTCCATTTTATACTCGTAAATGCCTGAGGAGATTTGTCGAAAAGAGTACTCTTCGAAAAATTGTGTTTGAATAACACTAAGAAATGCTTTGTTTTGCATATTTCTCTTTTTGTGACCCTTGTATCCATTATTTATTTCGTAGTCTTTGGTGACTATGTTTACCATATTGACGGTTGCTATTCATATTGGTGTATATGCTAACTCCCTTTTTCTCCGCTGTGCTGATCCGCAAATCTTTTCGCTTTCTATTTTCTCTCCAGACGACGACTGTTTGAAAGCACATCCTAGCTATCACCAGGTCGATCTAGATGTCAATCGCTTGGACTCTCTATTGCCGGCTAACACTACCGCCGAAGATAAGTCTGAGGTCAAAGCCACAATGATGCGGCTAATCATTTCTGTACTGTTGGACAACCCCACAGCACATTATTATCAGGCGAGTTTCGTTTGTCGGCTACAGTTGCTATTGTACCGTTGCATGTGCCGCTCATCCATCACATAAATTGAAGTCTTCTATTCCTCGTAGTACCGAGAAACCATACACACAAAGGGACGGGTATCGTATTGGCACATGTGACATGCTCATACATGCAGAATTATCGATGGATGGAGTTTGTGCAGGGATATTGTTGTACTGTCTCAACTGTGCTACTGCCGACCACATGTCTGCTTCGCTTGGCTCCTAACTCTGTCGCGAAAAAACCATCATTCAAGCCTCAGTATACGGTATGTATGCTATAGAAAGAACGATTCTGTTTATAGATCAACCATGATCCCCCATCTTCGTCGTCCTGGCCTCAATGAAAGTGGACGCGTTTCGCTGGTTTGGTATGCCATACTGAACTGTCCACTCAGTCGACCTTCGCCCGAGTTTGCCAGCCAGACACATCGCGCCTGAGTTCCATATTTGGTCAGTTGTACATGCGCCAGGGTTCAAAACCTGCCACATTATCGATTTCCGCCTGAGTTCACCAGCCACACATCGCACCTGTGTTCCATCGTTGGTCGACCCTTCTTGAGTCCCGGATGAAGCCCGTTCAAACTGTCGGCACGGCCTAGTATCTTAACGCGTTGCCATTGTATGCGCTTCGTTTTGGCTCCTAGTAGGTACAGTAGTGCCATTTTCACAAAAATCTTTCTTTGAGGATTTAATTACCATTTTACACCAATTCAGGGGCATTATCAGTTGTTTCATTACGGTTCATACCGTGGTCGGTTCAGTTTAGTTCATACGAGCAACTATAGACCACTCACAATTGGAAAATATCCCTGAATCTATTTGGTTGTCAGTTGCGAGTGTCTCATCTTACACACCGCTCGCATGTATCTACAACCCACCGTATGCTGTGTCTAAAGTGAGTATCACTAACATCACTTCTGCATTTGGCTTCGCATCAGAGTTGCCACACAGCCAGAAGATTATTGCCGGCGATTTCAACCTATCGAAAATGCGCTGGTCATCCCACCCAACATCTACCTTGCATGCCCCTTTTCTTTCTTCCGTCAGAGCTGAGGGCTGGACGCAATGGATTACCAGTCCAACCAGGTCCGCCAATGTACTGGACTTAACATTCACATTGGGGATACCCAATCCACAGACTGAGATCTTAAACAATCTCCCTGGCAGCGACCATAACATGATCCGACTCAGTTTTCAACTTAAAATGGTCACTAAACTCGCCTCTACACCGCCGGTTGCAACCTATAAGATAGACTGGGAATGCTTTCAGGAGTTCATTCGTTTCTCCTACTGGGATATATTTTCCTCTTCACCAGTGTGTACACCGCTGTGGAGCGGTTCTATAAACAAATCCATCACGTTATGCCCTCCTTGCTCCACAATGTATTCATACCCCGCATATCTCCAAAGATTCTGTGGAGCACTTAATCAGCAAGAAAACCAGAAAGTTAGCTGCAAGATACAGAAGAACCCATGACTTTTCACTTGTCTTACATATGCTTGAATTTACCACCAGGGTCAAACATACGCAATTAACACGATGAAAAAATGAAGAACATACAGCCCTACGGACAACCTGAAAAGCTAGAGAGCTTGTCAAAATACTGCATCGTAGAACAAGTGACCGCTCTTCTCTGATTACCGAAATTGTTGATGGTGAGGGTCACTTACTTCATGACGCAGCTGAAATCTGTGAAGCATTCAGTGACTTTTTTGCCACTACGAAGCTGAACCAGTGCCTGTGTGCACAGAGCTCACAGAAAGAAACATCTTAAGCAGAGTCGATATCTCGCTCAACGGTATCCATCAAGTTATCAAATCAATTAGGCCATCTTCCAATCTGGGATCGGATGGCATTTCATCAACGACCATAAAACTAGGAGGGCCTGATATACCATTGTTCCTGATGAGTATGTTCACTCTATCGCTAGAATCTGGCCACTTTCCAGACCAATGGAAAACGTCATTTTTTATTCCTCGGCATAAACAAGGTCCAAAACAAACGATTGATAACTACCGACCAATCCACCACATTCCGATAATCGCTCGGCTATTTGAAAAGCTGGTCAGCATGGAGATGAACTTTGTTGATTCTATTGGCCTGATCAATAATTCGCAGCATGGTTTTCTCAATAAGCGATCGTGCACCACCTGTCAACTGCATTACCTTAATCACATTTCAGAATCAATCGATTCCAGCTATGCAATAGTAGTCTTGTTTCTTGACATACACCAAGCGTTCGACCGAGTACCGCACAAGCGACTATTACAAAAGTTGGAGAACTTTGGGATTCGGGTCCCATTACTAGGCTGGCTATTGTCATACCTGAGTGATCGTCATCAGGTAGTCAGTTTAGGTGATTATCGCTCTTCCCCACGCTCAATCACCAGTGGAGTCATTCAAGGGAGCGCGCTCGGCCCCTTACTCTTTTTGCCCTACATCAATGACATCACCACATCCGTAAAACATGGTACATCATTTTTATTCGTTGACGGTATCAAAATCGTCTATAAGCTTCGGGGTGACGAGCTTCACGGGACATTACTGCTCATTCAAGATGATTTACATTCCCTTACGTCATGGCGTTGCACACGGGTGATGAACCTCTCGGCTAAGAAATCAAACATCATGTCTTACGGCTGCTGAATCCCCGAAGGATCTATCACTCCAAACAATGAACGCGTCCCTGCATAGTTTTCCACGCTAGATCTTGGAATTAGATACTCGTGCACCTTCACTTTCTCCGAACAGACCCAATACCAAGTAGCACGTGCCAGTCTATGTTCAAGCTATCAGATAAAATAGACACAACTCGTGCTAGCGTTGAGCTTTTCAAGCTACTCACTCGCCCCCCCCCATCGTCGGCCGGTGGCCGAGTGGTCTGCACGTTTGGTTTGCAACCATAAGGTCACCGGTTCGAATCCGCGTATGGGGTGGCGTCCTCGCGGTATACTTAGCCCGTGCGCGACTGGTGGTGGTCGCGCGGCAGCGAAGCGCCGTTACGGCGTATAGCTGACATACTATTTATTATTATTACTCGCCCCATCCTTGAATAATATATGGCAATATGAGAAAGAGTGACAGAATTTCTGTGGAGAATCTGCAGAGGTCATTTCCTAAACATCTGCTTAGTAAACACTGCTATGAGTGGTCGAGAACGTTGCAATGAACTTCATCTTGAACCACTTTGGATTCGACGATTGAAGCACAACTTGTTGCTGCTTTTCAACGTGCTACACAAAAAGACCTATTCCAACCTGCCTACACACAATTTACAACATTGCTCAACTCGAGCGCTTCGCAACAAAGATTTTTCATTGAATATACCGAAGGATAGAACGAACGTCTGCTCTAATTTCTTCCTCATCATCATCATCATCAACAGCAGTACATCAGCCACTTGAACTGATGCTTCGCTGCCATACAACCATGAGGACCTATGAAATAAAGAATAAGAAGAGGGAGAGAAGGGGGACTTACCTGAAAACCTTAATGTCCTAAGCAAACATTCAGGGTCAAGGCGCCTACACCTTGTGTTAACAACATTCCGTCACAAACAGCTGGCTATCGTGCAAAGATAAGGCGGCATCGGCGAGACAGCTTCCTTGCGGCTTTCACTGCCACGCGTCATAATCAGCCATTACCCCGCAGATAACTCAGCACCAAACACACTTTAAACAGACAATCCGATTAGGAGACGGCAGCAGAAGCGCCACTGGTGTCGGTTGCGAGCCATGTCCTGTAAAGTCTCGAGCCAAGCACAAGGTGAGTCACGTGGACTCCAGCCCGGAAGGCGAGACGGACCAACGGCACCCAGTTTGGTCGTCAGTGACTTCATTTCCCGCTGCCAAGTCAACTTCTGTCCACCTCGAGCCTTGCGCCACCCGACACCTGGTAGACTGAACAAGGCCCTCCTAGGTAAGCGGTGACCAGGCATGCGTAGCACGTGCCCGAGCCAACGTAACTTATTCAGTGCTATCTGTTGTTCTAGGGAGCTAGCATGATCATCACCACCTAGTACTCGCCTACGCACATCATCGTTGCGGACACGCTGGTGCCATCCGACACCAGCAATGCTTCGCAGACAACGATGATCAAAGACTTGAAGGCGCCTCAGATCTTCAGACCGAAGGGGCCAAGTCTCACTACCATAAAGCAGAACGGCCCTCACTGTGGCCTTGTATACACGGCCTTTCAGACGGAGGGAAACTCCCTTCTGTCGCCAAAGATGACGCAGGTTCAAGAAGGCAGCTCTGGCCTTTGCAATGCGTGAGCTCACGTCAGTTTCTATGCGCCCATCATTGCTGATGCAGCTGCCAAGATAATTGAATTGATCAACCATCTCGAGTTCCTCGTTAGCAAGCGTCAAGGGGTCATCGAGTGGCTGGTGGTCCTGCAGCAACACTTTGCACTTTGAAGGTGCGAAGTGCATACCAAATAATGGGACCCCTCTGGATAGGCTATCCAGGGTGACTTGTGCCGACTCAACATTGTCGAAAAGCAAGACGATATCGTCCGCATAATCTAGATCAACTAACCGTTCACCAGGCAGCACTTCAACACCTACATCGTGAGATTCCGCAAGGGAACACTCCATGATAGAATCCACGACGAAATTGAACAAAAATGGGAAATCGGACAACCCTGTCGAACGCCACTTCTAGTCGAAAAGCTATTCGATAGGGCACCATAGACCCTGACGAGGACTCTAGTGTTCGAGTATAGAGCACGAAGGATGTTCGCATATTTCCGAAGGACACCTTTCGCGCAAGTATTTCGAACAGAATCGATCGATCGACTGAATCGAACGCACTCTTGAAATCGAGGAACACAGCTATTGTCGGTCTGCGGTATGCGTGGCGCTGCTCTAGCACCTGCCGCAAAGTAAATATATGGTCTATACAGCCACGTCCTGGGCGAAAACCGGCCTGCTCTTCTCTAATCCGAGATTCCCGTTCTGCAGTGAGACGACGAA